TTAAGCCTTAATAGCCGTGAGTAAGGCAATTTCCCTAAATTTTCTTCACTAATGCCTTGAGTATGACCAAGTAAATGGCTCCAATAGAAGACAAGTTCTTAAGTCTTAAGGAGACCTTTTTCCCTCCACATATTAGCCCTTACACGTGTAAATTAAGGAGAGTGATTAGTCATTTACTTGGTGAACATTAGACAAGCAAGTGGCAAGTATGGGAGATGGCCACGCCACACACATATCACCCCATCTCCCTCACGGCACCTATTATATAAGGAGCATTTGAACCCAAAGCGGACAATATTCTGTGGCGGCGTCGGGTCTGTCGGCGGCGGCAACATGACCAGCAGGCTTCTTGCAGTGGTGGTGTGTTTCTGCGGCCGGACTGTAAGCTGTGGGCGGGTGGCCGGAATTGGGAGAGCTGTGTGTGTTGTCTGTTGTGTGTGTGTGTGCGACGGAGAGAGAACAAAGAGAGGAGAGAGGAGAGAGGAGAGAGGAAAGAGGAGTGAGGAGAGAGAGAACGTGATAAGTGGGTGGGAGATTTTATGGTGGGGCCCATTTATTTGTTTATTTGTTAAATTACATAATTGACCTTTATGTTATTTATTTGTCCATGAAATAGTATTGTAATTACAATATTGCCATGCAGGTTTGACCTTATAATTCAATTTTGACTTCATCATGTTCATTGATTTCTTTGATCCAATTACTCATAATCATTCTTATTTCTTTCACTATCTGCCATTCTCATATGATCCTTTCTCTCTCTCTCTATATATATATATAGAATTAATTTAGTAACTGGTCCAAAAAATAAATAATAAATATATATATATATATATGTTGGAACTTAAAGTTAATTGGCACATTTAGAGCTGTAACCACTACATTTGGTTGCATTGTTGGAAGAAAAATATGATTGACACATATTCTTTTTCTAAAAATAAGAAACATCAATAATATTTTTTTATTTATGTTAATTTTCTTAATACGTGCCACAAATATAAAAAAACGTTGCATGGTTAAAATAAAATTTAAATGTCAACTAATTTTGAATGATAAAAGTAACTTAAGAAAAAATAATAATTTTTATATGATAGAAGTACATGTCTAATTAATAAATACAAAAAAAAATATGTTTTCTATCTGTGCAAATGCACAGAATCAAATATTAGTGTTCCCTAAATATATAAATCTAACTATGAACAACAATATCCCTCTACATCTCTCTTATATATATTCTTATAAGGGAAAATGTCTTCCCTTTGTAAGGCCGCCACGTGGCATGCTTATTCCTTTTCTTCTGACGCCGCGTGGTAGAATTGCCCCCATTTTGAAAAGCACTTTATTATTAGGCCCTACTTTTCCTTTTGGACGCTTTTCATATCAGTTCTTTTCTTTTAATTTCTTCCGCAGGGCAAAACGACGTCGCACAAACAATCTTTTTTTTTTTTTGGGAAAATAGGCATCAATAATTAAGAAATGTCTTTTTTATTTGTTCCTAAAGAATTCCATCAAGCAGGAACAGGTAACTTTGGGAGCGACCTTCTTTTTACTCGACGAAACCCTATGTCCCTGTAACATTTTCTTCTGCGCAGAGGGAGAGAGGCCACTCAATTCAAAGAAAATCAAAGAACAAAATGGAGATTTAGGGTAGAGATACGGTGGCTGGGCTTCATCGTATTGCGTCACTCGTGCTCGAGTTCATTCAATTTAGTCGAAAAGTTTGTCCGATTTCACGGCCGTGGAATTAAGGGCGCCAGCGCTTGTCGCTTAAGTTGTGGTCGTGTTCTGCGCCGATAAGCGCAAATATGTGTATTAGCAGGGAGGGACGACTTGGGAACGAGTAAAATTATGCACTGAGATTGGACGGGCTGAGGTTTATAGACACTGGTAGCAGCCCACAGGTGAGCCCTCAACAATCACTCACATGTTGTTAGTTAGAATTTATTCAATCGATTTTGGTTTGGTCGTAGTTTCATTGTTTTCTGTTTGAATGGTGGTTGCTCTTTTTATGTTGGTGCTTTAAAACAACCCTTCAATGTTATGATTAATTTGTGTTTTTTGTTTGCTTGTCTCTAATCATCTGGTTGTTTTTTAATGGCATTTTCTTATGGTTCATTTTTGCGTTCTCCTTGTTGGAATATTTCTTTATCATCTATGCATCATCGGGTTGGGACCACAGCTCGCGTTCGCAGACGCCAGGGTGTGTGGATGTATCCTGTATCCCACCGTTGCAGGTTGCTGATGCCGAGAAATAAAGGTTGCGAAGCTTCTTTGGCTAGGTGGCAGTCCAAAAAAGAATGTGTTGAGGTCCCCTGTTGGTTTGGTCATTTCTGCACCGACATCTGCTTCCATCGGCCGTACGCACCTACGGCAGGGGTCACAGTTGAATACAACAGGCACTATTTCAACGACATGTGCAGGTAGTTATTTAAGATTATCCAGTTCCTAAAAAACAGTTACTTTAGGCAGTTAGTTGAGTTGTTATCGCCTATCAGTTGAGTTGTTGTCCTCTTCCTTTTTTATAATCATGTTTTGCTCGCACCTGTTGCTTTTCATTTTGCAGATCAATTTGCAGGTAGAAACCGTGCCTCCACCAGTAGAAGCAACTGCGCAGGTCTTCGACTTGCCTTGTTCTTCTTTATATGGCTTGATGCTTAAATATAGTCTTTGCTCCTGTATGCTTTTATATGCATTTGTATGCTGCCTAAATATACTGCTTTGCATGGTGTGTAGACTTCTTGCCTCTACATGATGCATCAGACTCTACTTCACCGGTTGCACAAGTGTTTATTTGTGATTATCCTATTTCTTTTACAGGGGCTTTGTTTTGCCAATTATAGGTCTTGTTTTTTTTT